TCATATTGGTCAGGCTGGTCTCGAACTCCTGACCTCAGATGATCCACCTGCCTCGGCCTCCCAAAGTGCTGGGATTACAGGTGTGAGCCACTGCACCTGGCCACGTTATGTATCTTTTGCATACATGTGGATGCTTCAAAGTATGTTACGCTGTCATGACTAATAAAACAAATTAAAAGCATCACTTAATTCTAAGTAGTTGTCACTACTATCTTTAATCAATGGATAGTGCAAGGCCAAAATGACCGTGGGCAGTGTAGGAGGTAGGACTGGGAGAGATCAGCTTTTCCTAGGTATCTGAAAGACTTGGAGAGCTCTGCCACGAAGCCTTCGTCCACAGGCATCCTGGCGGCACAGCCAGACCAGACAGGGTGTGGCAATGGCACTGCCCTGCTTCCACCCTCACCATCCCAGCACGGCTCCCCCAGGCTCTTCACTTACACATTCTTTCATGTGTGTCCTCTCCAGGGCATCCCAAATCTGGTCTTCAGTGTACTGGTTGAAGGGGTCCAAATTTGATCTAGGGAGAAACACAGGAATTTCTCAGTGGTCCCGCCTTGAAGCGACCTACTGGCAAAGGCTGTCTGTGGAAGATGTTTAACACACATGCACGGGGAGAGAAGACTCCAAACCCTGACGATCACAGACGGCTCATTCCCCAGCCAGCCAGATGGGAGCTCTGACTGCACACTGGGCCAACTCCTCATCTCCATAAAACTTGATTTATTCTTTTATTATTTTTACTATGTAAATAATACTAGTTATAGAACAATTTATAAATGCAAATATTGGCAAATATCCTTCTAGATTTTTTCCTGTGCATGTATTTGTTAAAATACATCTTTCAGGTGGGTGCGATGGCTCGTGCTTGTAATCCCAGCACTTTGGGAGGCCGAGGCAGGTGGATTACTAGAGGTCAGGAGGTCAAGACCAGCCTGGCCAACATGGTGAAACCCTGTCTCTACTAAAAACACAAAAATTAGCCAGGCGTGGTGGTGGGCGCCTGTAATCCCAGCTACTCGGGAGGCTGAGGCAGGAGAATTGCTTTAACCTGGGAGGCAGAGGTTGCAGTGTGCCGAGATCACACCACTGCACTCCAGCCTGGGCGACAGAGTGAGACTCCATCTCAATAAATAAAACAAAATAAAATAAAATACATCTCTCCGTACATACAAACTTAGAAAAGCACCCTCTTTCTCTTGGTCTACCTGGTTCACAGCCCTGTCATTGAGCATGGGGCTCCACGACAGCTGGCCTGACCAGGAAAAGAAACTGATCCAGTAAAGGGTGGAGGAAGAAGGAGAGAGAGAATAAAGGACAAGTCAAGAAAAAGGAAATTTCCTGGCACAGAAGACCAGTTTGGGGGCCATTTTTGCTTACTGTGCCAACAGTATCTACCTCAAGGAAATCAGAGGTGATACCAAAAGAACGAGACTAGATTTTTTTTTTTTTAGTCTCTGTAACCCAGACTAGAATGCAGTGGTATAATCTCGGTTCACTGCAACGTCTTCCTCCTGAGATCCAGCTATCCTCCCACCTAAGCCTCTTGAGTAGCTGGGACTACAGGCGCACACCATGTTATTTTTATATTTTTTTGTAGAGATGGGTTCTGCTATGTTGCCCAGGCTGGTCTCAAATTCCAGCGCTCAAGCTCAAGTGATTAGCCTACCTTGGCCTCCCAAAATGCTGGGATTACAGGCATGAGCCACTGTGCCCGGCCAGGACTAGAAATGTTTAGGACAGGAAAAAATTATCTTTGCCACTGAGGATGAGGGTGGAGAGCTGGTGGTGGAACAGGTATTTGGTGGAAAACTGGGATGTTAACAATAATTGTGGATGTCTTGTCTTGATCTACACATAACATTTGGAGGTCTAATAATCTGAAAAGTATTAAGAATAATTTGCTTTGCTCATAAAATTATGCCTGGCATGTGGGAAACAGGAAAATCTCTGGGAGAAACATGGACTTTTGCTCTATGCCACACACCTGTCTCCATACCTGGGGTTACTAATTACAGGCATGCAAATACAATCACGTCATTATCACAGAACTCTGGTGAGAGGGGGAGAGCCGGCCGGCACTGCCTCATTTCTGCTTTTTGGGCGTCTCTCGATCTCCTGGGAGATTCTGACCCGCCCTGCTCTCCAGTGCCTCTTGCCCTTTGCACAGCATTTTTCCCGCTTGGAAACATGCTCACTTCTCACTACCCCTGGCCTAGGAAGTGTTGTTTAATACTATACAGTTTAATGGGTTGAACTGTGTCTCCCCAAGAGACACCTAAGTACCTAAGAATGTGACCTTATTTGGAAATAGGGTAATTTGCAGATGTAATTAGTTGAGATGAGGTCATACCACAGTAATAGAGAAGGGTGGGCCCTTAATCTCATATGACTGGTCCTTATGAGAGATGGCCATGTGAAGGCAGAGAAACACTGGGAGGGCATCATGTGACAATGGAGGCAGAGGCCAGAGGGTGCATCCGCAAGCCAAGGAATGCCAAAGATGGCCTCAACTACCAGAAGCTGGAAGAGGCAAGGAAGGGTCCTCCCCTACAGGTTTCACTGGCAGCATGGCCCAACTGACACTTTGATTTTAGACTTCCAGCCCCCGGAACTGTGAGATAGTAAATTTCTGTTGTTTGAAACCATCTAGTTTGTGGCTTAAACTGTTTGTGACAGCCCCAGGATACAAATACAGCGAGTAAGTCCATCAGATGCCGCTGGATGAAACAGCAGGCATGGAGTCCCCCGTCATCCACAAGGGTATGCTTCAGGGAGCCCTGGTAGATGCCTCAAACCACAAATAGTACTGAACTCTATAAATGCCAAGTTTTTTTTCCCTATATATACATACCTATGATAAAGTTTAATTTATAAATTAGGCACAGTAAGAGATTAACAATAATGAAATCAAATAATTATAACAATATGCTGTAATGAACATGATTTGACTGTGGTCTGTCTCTCACAAAATATAGTATGTAATATTTTTGGACCCCGCTTGATCATGGGTAACTGAAACTGCAGAAAGTGAAACCATGGAGAAGCAGGAACTGCTGTACACAAAAGTGCAGCCTCCTGCCCACTGAGTAGCTGGCCCTATCAGATTTTCTATGGGTGAATATGACAACAAGCATAACATTCTTATTTTTTGAGCCAGAGTCTTACTCTGTCACCCAGGCTCGAGTGCAGTAGCATCTCAGCTCACTGCAACCTCTGCCCCACCCCCCAGGTTCAAGCAATTTTTGTGCCTCAGCCTCCCAAGAAGCAGGGACTACAGGTGTGCGCCACCACACCTGGCTAACTTGTATTTTTTGGTAGACACGGTTTCCCCATGTTGGCCAGGCTGGTCTCGAACTCCAGATCTCAGGTGATCCATCTGCCTTGGCTTCCCAAAGTGTTGGGATTACAGGTGTGAGCCATTGTGCCCAGCCCAGGCTTAATATTCAATTCACCCAGGTCCATCACACCGGCTGAAGGAGCTTCAGACCACTAAACAATGGGTTCCAGATAGAAAAGGAATGTTTGCATACACTGGTAGGTGGTACACAGTAAGGCAGACCAGACCCACCTCAACAGGGAGCTTAATCAGGAATGGAAAAATATCTTCCCTCATTAGAGAAGCCAGATGGTCCTGGGTCTGACCCACAGACAGAAATGAAAGCAAAGTTATGCATCCACTTAATCAAACGGTTTCAGTTAAGCGATTGGATAGAAAAGTGTCTGAACATGAGGGCAGTTATTTTTAACAATCAGAACCCCTGGAGTCCTAGCTTGCCAAAAGTACATTTTCATCTTTGGTTCTTTATATTTTATTTTTAGCAATAGTCAACACTGACCACTGCTAAATGAAGCCAAGACTGTCTCCCAAAGTGTGAGACAATACAGTAATTCACCCTGGACATAGTAGAAAACACTGTAGTAAACCACGCTGCCCTGTCATCTGTGCTGGGTGCTTCTAGCAGCCTCAGTCTTCAGAGCAGGAGATTTTGGGACTCACGTACCTTCTTCTATCAGGAAGCTAAAGGAAACCTTATTTTGAGGTATGCAGAAATGTGGACTGATTGTGGCTTTTAGTTGTTAAGAGTCAGATTAGGTGAAAAAAGTTAAGAGCAAAAGTAGAGCAAATAAAAAAGACTAGAGAGAAAGGCATAGATTGGGTGACTTTCTTTTTTCGTTTTTGAGATGAGGAAGGCAGATGAGACTTTGAAGATGCTGGGAAAAGAAATGTAACTAAAGGTCAAGATCCATAAAGAGGCAAGTCTGTTTTTTGGAGAGATGGAATATCAAGGTTGTGGTTAATAGTGGGGTCGTGACACATGCTTCAGGAGGCAACGCAGTGAGTGTAGTGAGTAGAGCCAGCCAGCCAGCCAGCCTGGGTTCAAATTGTAGTTCTACCACTTTTAGCTGTGTGTCTTTGGGCAAATTACTCTCACTCTCTGGATTTCAGTTTCATCATCTATATAAAATAGGCATAAAGGCCAAGGGCGGTGTCTCACGCCTATAATCCCAGCACTTTGGGAGGCAGAGTTGGGAGAATCTCTTGAGCTCAGGAGTTTAAGACTAGCCTGGGCAACACAGTGAAACCTCACTATTTTGTAAAGTAAAATATGCATAACAATGGTGTCTGTCTCATGAAGTTTTGAGCATTTGTTAAATACAATTAAGATGGTTATGACAGGTGGGACACGGTGGCTCATGGCTAATCCTAGCACTTTGGAAGGCCAAGGTGGGCAGATCACCTGAGGTCAGGAGTTCAAGACCAGACTGGCCAACAATGTGAAACCCCATCTCTACTAAAAATACAGAAATTAGCCAGGTGTGGTGGCGGGTGCCTGTAATCCCAGCTACTGGGGAGGCTGAGGCAGGAGAACTGCTTGAACCTGGGAGGTGGAGGCTGCAGTGAGCAGAGATCATGTCACTGCACTCCAACCTGGGTGACAAAGTGAGACTCCGCCTCAAAAAAAAAAAAAAAAAAAATTAGCAGATCAAAAGGAGAGGGCAACTGAAGAAAAAGAAATGCGAACACTGTTTCTTGCTAATGAATGGGCACCAGGCAGAAGTGCTCCGAGTAGACAAGGTACCCGTCACTCACAGGGGACCAAGACTCAAGAGAGACCACAGTGACAGCTGGGGACAGTTCATCCTCAGCCTAGCCAGGCTCCGGACAGTCCTCAGGATGAAAAACACTCCAGCTGTGGGGGACAGGACAGAGGCCAGGGCTGGGTTTCCTGGGTCCAGGAAGCACAGGAAGCTCTGGGAGAAGGTGGGGAAAGCTAGGGCCATGAGACAGAGGCCAGCAAAAGTGTTTTAGGGCCTGGATGAAAAGGGGGCTCTCTTCTTGGAGCCAATCATGAGGGCAAAACAGTAGAGATCTGCAGAAACACAGGCTGGAGAACTCAGGCCCACACAGGCACGTAAGGGAGGGCTGGGATGCAGGTACTAGAATGGATCAACACTCTGGCTAATCTAGGAAGGGGTGTGGTCCAACATGATCTGGCCTATGATTTAGATTAATTATATTAGTACACAGAACAACTCAGAAATTTATATCTTGTGACTTTCTGAGTTTTGTTGGTTTGATTTTGGTTTTACCTTGCTTTTCCTCTAAGAGATCCTTTCAAGTTTTAATTGTTTGTAGGTGTCTCAAGAAGAGGTACCCACCCTCAATACTGGCTAATGGTGGTGGAGGCGCAGTTTCCAGATTCAGAGTCTCTAGGAGGTAGCTGAGGAAACAGCTCGTGTATCCTGCCTTTGCCTTGGGAAACTCATCATAGGCTTTCTATCTTCTAAGAAAAGCAAAAGAATACCAGCCGGGTGTGGTGGTTCACGCCTGTAATTCCAGCACTTTGGGAGGCTGAGGTGGGCAGATCACCTGAGGTCAGGAGTTCGAGACCAGCCTGGCCAACATGGTGAAACCTCATCTCTACTAGCTGGGCATGGTGGCCCGTGCCTGTGGTCCCAGCGACTCAGGAGGCTGAGGCACGCAAATCACTTGAACCCAGGAGGCAGAGGTTGCAGTGAGCTGAAACTCCAGCCTGGGCGACAGAGCGAGACTCTGTCTCAAAAACAAATGAATACCAAGAGCTGAATATTTTCTGGGATCCGTAAGAACCCTGACAGGATAAAAGGAAACCTTAGGGGATAAAGGACAAGTCTGGCATTTAATTTTTCCTCAGTGTCTACTACTGACTAAAAAGCCAAAATTAGAGCTGGCAGAAAATTTAACTGAAACGATTTTCTCACTTTGCACAGCTGACTTCCTAAGCTGCACTCTAAGCTCAGTAGCTACAAACCCAGGACAGCAGTGTACCAACTACTGAGTTAGCCACAAAGCAGCCAACATTTCTTTCTCTGGAGATAAATGATTCCAATTCCACTAAAGCTACAGGTCTATGATGTTCTATCCACACCAGCTGCACATGCCCACGGTCAATTCTTTTTCTTTAAACGTTTTATATTATTTTAAAAAGCAGAGACGCGGTCTCACAATGTTGCCCAGGCTGGTCTCAAACTCCTGAGCTTAAGTGATCCTCCCGCCTCAGCCTCCCAAAGTGCTAGGATTATAGGCATGAGCCACTACGCCTGGCATCGTGGTCAATTCTTAACCACTAACTCTAGAAGCTCCCAATTCACAAACCCAAATGAAATGCTATAAAATTTTTAAATTAAAACTGAGGCTTCTTGGTGGCAGCATTTTCTCAAATTTAACATGCTTTATTTCTTAATTCTCTTCCAAATGATGATTAAAAAAAATAGTTCTTATGGCCAAAAACAAGTATCGTAAGGCCAATTTTTTTTTTTCAAGGTGTTCCTGTGGCATTTAAATATAGAGAGATTTATGGGAAAAGCCAATCAGGCAACATTTTCCTTATTTATTTATTTATTTAGAGATGGAGTTTCACTCTTGTTACCCAGGCTGGAGTGCAATGGCACGATCTCAGCTTAATACAACCTCTGCCTCCCGGGTTCAAGTGATTCTCCTGTCTCAGCCTCCCAAGTAGCTGGGATTACAGGCATGTGCCACCACGCCTGGATAATTCTGTATTTTCAGTAGAGAGGGGTTTCTCCATGTTGGTCAGGATGGTCTCAAATTTCCGACCTCAGGTGATCCACCTGCCTCAGCCTCCCAAAGTGCTGGGATTACAGGCATGAGCCACCACACCTAGCCAATAAACTCTACTTTTCTTCTGATATCGCTTGTCTGACCTTATTACCTCAATACCCAAAGAGAATGGTTTATTATCAACCACAGATACAGTGCATGCTGTCCAGATTCAATTACAGAAATACCAAAATAAACATACCCTAGGGTGTTGACTCTACACAAACACAGGTGAGAATTCTGCTGATTTACTACTATGGACTACAGGTTTGTGTGCCCCTAGAATTAAATTGTTGAAACACTGACCCCAATGTGATGGTATCTGGAGGTGGGGCTGTAAGGAGGGGTTTAGATGAGATCATGGTTTAGATGAGATCATGAGGGTGGGGCCTCAAGAAGAGGAGACACAAGAGCTCTCCTTTCCGAGGGCACACACCATAGGCACACACCGAGGAAAGGCCACGTGAGGACAGAACAAGACAGCCATCTGCAAACCAGGAAGAGGGCCTTCAGCAGACACCCATCCCGGCCTTCCCAGCCTCCAGAACTGAGAGAAATAAATTTCTGTTGTTTAAGCCACCCAGTCTATGGTATGTTGTTATATACAGCAGCCTGAGCAGACTAAGGTATCTACCAAAGTTCCTTGAGTTCAAATGCCATTTCCAAAGGTAGAGGGGATAGTTTTAAAACAAGTCTGAACACTGCCTATGATTATTTGAAATCAGGTTGGTACCAATTTTTCTGAAAACTGCTAAAAATTACTTTTAGAATGATTTTTTAATAGGGACACAAATGATGGAAATCCACTGTTTTTAGGAGGGAGAAGCTTAAGGGTAAAGGTAGGATCAGGTAAGCTTAGGAAAGATAATGTGATGCTTTCTCCTTGGTCTGTTTTAATAGGCCAAGAAGAGGGATTTTATCTCTGGCATCTTGGCAGATTTCAGAAAGTGACACAATTCCAGAGTATCAAAGAAGACACTAGAAAACGAAATAACAAAAGGAGTAATAACGCCTGAAAGCCACCATTGGAACTGGAACTTTTGGCCGGGTACAGTGGCTCACGCCTGTAATCCTAGCTCTTTGGGAGGCCGAGGCGGATGGATCACTTGAGGTCAGGAGTTTAAGACCAGCCTGGCCAACATAGTGAAACCTCATCTCTACTAAAAATACAAAAATTAGCTGGGCGTGGGGGAGGGCGCCTGTAATCCAAGCTACTCAGGAGGCTGTGGCAGGAGAAATCACTTGAACCCAGGAGGCGAAGGTTGCTTTGAGCCAAGATCGTGCCACTGTACTTCAGCTTGGGCAACAGAGTGAGACTCCAACTCAAAAAAAAAACAAAAACTGCAACTTTTAGCGCACCTAGGAGAGATGACAGAATGGAGTGGGAGGCAGGTGAGGATGATGTTGTTGGGGCTGATGACAGCAGCCACCATTTGCCAAATGCTTACCATTTGCCAGGCCCTGTGCTTATATAATGTACATGAACTTACTCAACCTTCACAGCAACAGATCTTTAAAGCATCCCCATCTTATGGGCAAGGAAACAGGCACAAGAGTGGTTAAATAACTTGTCCGAAGTCACGGAGCAGAGCTCTGAGCCCAGATCTCTCTGGTCTCTTCAGCGCTGTGCTACAGGCCTTCCTGTCCCCTTTAGTCAACCAAGTGGCGTGTGCAGTGGGGCTGCCTCTCCCTTCTGCACCAGCACGCACATGGTGTAGTGGGAAAAGCACCAGACTAGAGATGGCGAACTCATGGTCCCAGGGCGTAGTGCTAGCATCGTGTGGTCCCACGTGCCCACCCAGCCTCTAAGTGAGGCACGAGGCATGCACGTGCTCAAGTCCTCACCTGACAGTGCCACTAAACAGCACCGGCTCTTGAGGAATGATGGAGAGTTTGCTTCGGAGGTCGGCAAGGCCAATATCACTGATTCTCACTCCATCAATCTTGATGCAGCCTCCAGATAACTCCACCAGACGGAAGAGGGCCATCCCCAGCGAGGACTTCCCTGATGAGTCAGAAGACATGCGAGAGAGGAGCTGTTAGCAAATTCTGTGAGGACAATGCTGGTTTAGCCTCAGGGCAATGCCAACTGTTTTTCTATTTCTAGTCAGTTGTTATTTCAACTGATTAACTGAGATAATGTATAAAATGATAGAAAAAAGTGATTAACTTTCCTGAGATACAAGGCAGACACCTTCAAATTACACAGCTTCAGCCTGAGAAGGAGGGGAAGGGACCATTCCATTTTCATTTTTTTTGAGATGGAGTCTCGCTCTGTTGCCCAGGCTGGAGTGCAGTGGCACGATCTCGGCTCACTGCAACCTCCGCCTCCTAGGTTCAAGTGATTCTTCTGTCTCAGCCTCTCGAGTAGCTGGGACTACAGGCGCGTGCCACCACGCCCAAATAATTTTTGTGTTTTTAGTAGAGATGGGGTTTCACCATATTGGCCAGGTTGGTCTCCAACTCCTGACCTTGTGATCCACCCACCTCGGCCTCCCAAAGTGCTGGGATTATAGGCATGAGCCACTGTGCCTGGCCGACCATTCCATTTTCATGAAAGTAAAATGGAAAAATGCCTCCTGGTTACCTTAGGAACAGGTGCACAGAGCTGAATGCTCCTTAGGCAAAGTCAGGAGAACAGAGATCTTACAGCAAGCAGTTGAGGGGCAAACCAGAGGACAAGATGCCTTTTCTCTCCCTATCCCCTCATTACAGCTGAGAGAGAGAGACTAAGACAAGGCCTCTTGTTGCCACGGCAGCAGCTGGGGAATGGAAGAAGTTCCAGGGATAAACAAACTCGCACGGGAAGGAGGTTTTGCCTCGACTCAATGAGTGGCTGTCAATGGCTCTACTGTGACAGGAAACTATGGCAGAGAACAGGTTTGGGGGACCAGTGTTATTACAGTGGTCAGCAGAACCGGTTAACCGAATCTTCATTAGAAAAGTTTTACATAAGTAATATTAGATGACATCATCAAGCTCCCATAATCTTACTTCTATCATTTTGGGCACACTTCCTTTCAGTCTTTCCTCAGAGTTGAGATCATATCAGAAATGCAATATTGTAATTGCTTTTTTTCACTTAACACTGTATTGGCCAGGCATGGTGGTTCACGCCATCCAGCACTTTGGGAGGCTGAGGCGGGCGGATCACCTGAGGTCAGGAGTTCGAGACCAGCCTGGCCAACATGGCGAAACCCTATTTCTACTATAAATACAAAAATTAGCCAGGCATGGTGGCGGGTGCCTGTAATCCCAGCTACTCAGGAAGCTGAGGCAGGAGAATCGCTCGAACCTGGGAGGTGGAGGTCGCAGTGAGCCGAGATCACATCACTGCACTCCAGCCTGGGCAACAGAATGAGACTCTGTTTCAAACAAAACAAAACAAAACAAAAGCATTGTATAACAGGCAGTCAACCATTTTAGAAAACATTTTCAAGATACAATTTTAGTGGTTGCAATATTCCATCATGTGGACGTATTCTTGATCAATCAGCTTAGGGTGAACATTTAGTTTATGTAAAACTTATAATAACGTTGTGTCCTATATCTTAGTGCTGAAACTTCACTGCTACCTCAGACGATTTCCTTGGGAAAGAATCTTAGAACTGAAACTACCATGTCAAAGGATATAAACATTTAAAAGGTGCTCTCTCTATAGTGCCAAAAAGAAAATAAGTTTGCCATAGTCCTGTCTACCTTTCTGCAACTTGGTTCCATGGCTTAGATTTAGAACTACAGTGTTTTAGCTGTTGAATCATTTTCCTTGACCGAATGCCTGGTTCTTGACCCTCCTACCCTTCTTTTGCCTCCGTGTCGTAAAAGACCTCTCATGAGGGCCTCATCGAGATCACCATGATGCTCTCTCTTCAGCACTCATGGAGGGCACAAACAGCCCACCTTGCACCAGTGTCTACAGCCACAACCCTACTGTCAGGATCCGTCCCCTGGGCATACCTCTGTCTTACAGCCTAATGGGAACCTGAAAACACCCATAAAGCTTGGAAGAAGTAACACCCAGGAACTTGGACAAAGCTGTATTAGGAGAGTGTATTAGGACCCATCTTCCTAATGCAATAATCCCCACATGCTTCTACCAGAAACAAGTTAGGAAACCTGGTTTGTCTAGCAGCATAGTTCTTCTCCTAGAAATGAATGACTCCAGGCCGGTGGGCGCAGTGGTTCACTGTAATCCCAGCACTTTGGGAGGCCAAGGTGGGTGGATCACTTGAGGCCAGGAGTTTGAGACTAGCCTGGCAAACTTGGCAAAACCCGGTCTCCACTTTAAAAAAAAAAAAAAATTAGCTGGGCATGGTGGCATGTGCCTGTAATCCCAGCTACTCCAGAGCCGAGATCACACCACTGCACTCTAGCCTGGGCGACAGAGCGAGACTCTGTCTCTCAAAAAAAAAAAAAAAAAGAAATGAATGACTCTGTTCAGAGTTGGGGGACTCAGTTCCTGGCCCCTTTCCCAGATAGAAGAAGGGGAGGGAGACACCCCCTCTGGGCCAAGGCAGTGCTTTAAGAGCTAAGCTAAGGGAGCCAGGTGCAGTGGCTCACGCCTGTAATCCCAGCACTTTGGGAGGCCGAGGTGGGTGGATCACCTGAGGTCAGGAGTTTGAGACCAGCCTGGC